CAGGGGTTCGGCGGCCCTGGTGGGCTTTACCGCGGGCGACGGGGCCGTGAATTGGAGCGGGCGGGAGGCCGAGGTAAGAGCCGCACCCCTCCTCCTCCTATCCCTTCCTCCACCCCCACCCCATCTCGATTGCTGATGTCTGGTGCCGTGTGCCGTGTGGCGTGTGGGTGCAGCTCAAGGCGGCCATCATCGAGCAGGTGGTGAGCCTCTTCGGAGAGGAGGGGCGCCGCCCCCGGGAGGTGATCATCAAGGACTGGATGCAGGAGCAGCCCTGGAGCAGGGGCTGCTACGTCGGCGTCATGCCCTCCGGCATGCTTTCCTCCTTCGGCAAGGGTACGTGGGCCTCCCCCTCTTCGTCGTATCGTCGTCGTCATCATAAATAATGACAATCCCGGTTTCCTCATATACGGCGCGTGTGTTGGTGCACCTTGTTCTCATCACCACCACCATCCTCGTCATCATCATCTCCGCCGCCGTGCAGCGTTGCGGGAGCCCGTGGGCCGCATCCACTGGGCCGGCACCGAGACGGCGATGGAGTGGATCGGGTACATGGAGGGCGCCCTCTCCTCCGGCCTCCGCGCGGCCGACGAGGTCGTGGCCCGCCTCCACACCGACCCCGTCCCCGCTCGCCTCTAAACCCGCCGCCGCCGCCTCTTCGCCCCCATTGAGAAGCTACCAGCACAACAGCAGTCACCAAAAATGGCCATTTAAAGCAGTTTTTTTGGTTTACGATTGTTGCTGTGGTGGCGTGGCCGTCGTGGCGCGGTGGTCCTCGGCCTGCTGCTTGAGGCGAGCAAAGGCGGCGTGCACGTCCCTGGCCTGGAACCTATTTACAACCCAGGAGGGGACCAGGCCGCGCAGGTCCACGCACACCACGTACGTGCAGTAGACCTCCTCTCGCGTGCTGCCGCGGCTGCTGCTTTCCTCCATCTCGTCCGTTTCGTCCCTCGCGCTGTACGCTGAGTCGTCGGCCTCGTCGAAGGGCTCGACGGCCCACCCGCTGTTGAGCACCTCGCCCCGCACGAACTCCTCCGCTCCTGCTGACCGAGCGAGCGATCAGCCACCACCAGCCACCACCAGCCACCAGCCACCAGCAGCACGATCGTGGGTCGTGCTGACGGCCACGATGCGCTGATGTGGGGGGGGGTAGC